GAGTGTATGAGACATCGGGACGTGTGCCGACGAGCCGGAGAAATTGGTTACAAAATTTTAATAAGTTTGTCGTATTTTAGTATCTGTATTTAGTCAAGTACAAGATGAAATGTACAAATAGTTCCCTGTGGGAAAAACATTCATTTGGAATTTCTCGTGAGCAATGATTTTCTTGCAGCCTCAACGGTGATTCGTCAAGCGATGAAAAAATTCATAGAACTGTTCTTCTCGTGCCTGAAACATTCGTAAACACAGCGGATAGTGAGAACAAAGGATCGCCACGTGGATAAATCACTTGCCGCATCATAGAAATTACACTCACAGAGATCAAGTGGAAGCCGTTTACTTGGACCTCGCACGCATCTTCCTCCTTTTACGTTTTAGCCTGCGCATCCTCTTCTTACGCCACTGTAAACCAAACACATTATCGTGTTATTTCCTCGTGCGTCTGTATTCTTTCGAGGAGGTTATGTCAGTTGTAGTATGAAGTACAATTTATACAAAAAAAAACAAAATACACAAAGAAAAAATTCAGGACTTGCAAACTCTGCCGAAACAACTATAAACGTGATATAAAACTTAATGATTGAATTCATTCACAAAATCGTGACATTGTGTAGATACAAAATTGCTGTATCTTAAAAATCGTGTAATCCACACACGAAATAAATATAAATCTCCCCGAGATAATTACCTTAGCTCTCATCCTGTGCTCGAAAGTCGCTAAATTGCTTTAGTGCTGCTAGATTAATGCGGATTTCAGAATCTCAGGGTGTACGCATCCGACGGCTTCTGAAAACAATATGGAAGAGACAATGATTTCAGCGCGAAGCACCGGAAAGGTCGGTAGTTCGTACTGTTCCCGATAGAGGACCATTTGCACGATGTATTTGCCGGAAAAATTGACCAATCAGAGTGACTTTCTTCAAATTCTGAGCTGAGCCAATCGACACGGCCGGTAGAGTTGCCAACGTGAAAATAAAAATACCGATTTGCTGTTAAAACCAGTGATGCCGGGTTTTAATCATGATTTAAATCGTGACGTTTTTAAATCAACCTAATTGACCAATCGCATTGGCCAATTGGCTGAACTGATGAATGCGATTGGTTAATTCCGTTGAATTAAGCTCTGCACGCAATAAACATATATTAGGAATAAGAATAAATATTAAATATTAGTAATTGAAATTAGGAATTATTTTCACACACGGAATGAGACGAATGGCTGTGTGACACAATTTCTGCATTTATATCTTATATTTCATTCTTTTTCAATGTATATTACATTAATCACGCTATATTCCAATTTGTTTGAAACGGACATAAGAGAATTCTCTCGTTCTTTCTCTATAACCTATGAATTGACTACAAAATTTGTTAACATGAAATTAATTACTTAGTTTTTCCAATTACACGAAGAAACGAATAAATTACACACTGCTACGAATTGCCGGTTCGGTGGAAATGCGCCCCAATTGCGCGGGCATTTGTGAACTTCCGTCCGTTACTCCGAGTCTGCGTCCCGAGGACGAATTACGTGGTTCGGTTCCGCGTTTCGCGGGTTTCCCGCGTTTAAAGTCCTTCCCGCGTTTAAAGGCCTTCCCGCCAACTGCTCGTACACAGACGATCATATGCGAGCGTTCGTCGCGGGCCGAGTGACGTGTTCTACTCTGAAATTTTGCGCAATTCTTAGGAATCCACGTACGGTGGCAGAATTTTACGATCGCGAACGTTCG